ACGTTTAGAATAGCTGTTCGATATTTTTTAGAAACTTGAACGAACTTAATTCTAGTTTACAATGTTCCAGTATAAGTGTCACGTGACAAAATAAATGCAGCAGTAAAAAAACTAAAATACAGAAAAAAAAAGCAAAACAGCAGCTTCATTACCAATATTAGAAGAGTTTTACCAGAATATACATTTGTCATGACTGAGCAACTAATTGAAGTTGGAGACACAAACACACAGAACTTGTTAGAAATTAAAAATTGGGCAGAATGTCCGTTTTTCATTTTGGATGCTATGTTAGATAATGCTTCCGATCAATAGAGAAATCATATTTTAGATAATTCATGCGACAGAAATTTTCTAAAGTAATCTTAAGTTCTGTAACCAAGCTATTTCTCAGAAAGATAAAATTTATATTTATACCGTATACACAACAGTAAGAAACTATTATAAACACTACCATGTAACGAAACGCTAGAAAACAGCCTCCATTTTTTGCAATGCCACTCTAAAAGCGCCAAAAATTTAAAAAAATAAATAAATAAACTAATAACGCAAGCGTTAGTTTGAGTTTTGCATCGACACAACTTTCTCCCTTGTCCCCGAGTAAATTTCTTTACGTTACATTTTATTAATTTTGGCATGCAACTCTTTTATGTAGTGTTTCTATTTTAATTTAATTTGTTTCGTTAAATGTAGAAAGTATATTTTCAAAATTAAATTTTGTCAATTACTTACAATTTTCAGCTGACCTAGTTACAATTTTCACTAACTTTTGTAATTTTTGATTAAAAATGAGAGATGGAAATATAAAAAGAAATTACTAACTTTAATATATTCTTTTAATTCCTGATTTTAATTTGACGACTGCGTCACGTGAAAACTCCACATAAGGTCATCTGCAATGAGTTAGCTCTTGTCCAATCACCATTCAAAACTTAAACAAAGGGTATCATTTCTTATAAATACCCCTTTGTTGAAATGCGCAATGACATTTTTACTCTCTCTTGCCGTGCTAGCGCGTCTCATTGCTTCGCTAAATCATTTATTCTCTGGAAATGTAATAAGTTGTATATAAAACTGTGGGTTACTTATTGCACCCATAGTGATGTGTAAAAAGAAATTATTCATCAAACAATAAAATTATGGGGTGAATATCCAGCTAGTTTAGATATTCAAGTTCTATCCGTCTATTACATATCGTGTCTGTATGCTAGCAACATCTATAACATTCTCGTCATGTCTATAAAATTACTGATGTCATCATCTACAAATTATCACAATTAATTGCTAGTCGATTGAAAAGTTTTAGTTATTATTAAGAAGTAATTGCTGTTATCACTAACAAAATTGTTAGAATTAATAGCTGGTAGGTGATACAGCAAAGCAATAAGACATGCGCTAGCAGATCAAGAGAGGGTAAAATTTAGTAGTAACTGCGCATTTCACTAAAAGGGCATAAGAGTTGAAAATCTGTGTTTATACTTTGAATGATAATTGCAGATGACATAATGCGAAGTTTTCAAGTGAAGCTGTTTAAAGGGGTTAAAAGAAGCAAAGTTAGTATTTTTCTTTCATATTTTACGAAATGTACAGGAGCGGTAAGATAGCTTCCCCGCAAAGCAGTTTTAGGGTTGCCATATATGGCAAGGGTAGGCAGGGTTGCCACATTTGGCGAGAAATCGCCCATTTGGCGACAAAACTGGCGATATATACCATGGACGGTTGGAGAACCTTCTGGAACGAATTCTTACCGGTTTAGCCCGGAATGTTCTCGAACACCAGTCAAAAGCTATATAAACCCTGCTGGTACGCGGGGAGAGTTGGTTACGAGTTAGAGTGTGTCTCGTCTAGCTAGTCAATCCCTGCGGAGTCGATCGAGTTGACAGCCGGGCAGCGAGTGCCGAGTGGGTCGTCGAGTGCATCGAGAGAGTCTTTTAGTGCATCGCGAGTTAGTGCATCGTCGAGAGAGCGTGTTGAGCTCCGGGAACGACTGAACCGAAGAGTCGGGAGCTGTGCTCGTGTGTCGTCGTGTGCATCGCGAGTTGTAGCGTGGAGAGTCTGGAGAGTACGTGGAGTTTCGAGAACGACCAAGCAAAGTCGGGAGCTGTACTCCGGAAAGCAGAGTCGGGTGCTTTGCAGGAAGCTGTCTCCACCGTTATTGCCTGACAGTGTGAAGGCTGGGTCGCTGATTGTTTCAGCGCGTTTATAGTAAATCTTCGACGACTGTAACAGTGTTTTGGAGCTGTCCTGATTAATATTGATAAATAAAGTGTGTTTCGATACTTCACCCAGTGTCGTCGTTATTCACTCCAAATCTACGAACCCCGTGCGAAAGTGAAGGAAGAAAATAACGTAACAACTGGTGTCAGAAGAATAAAAAAAAAGTAACAATATTTTATATCTTACATGCATACTTACGAAAAAGCGATAAAATTTTATCACCATTCATACCTTTGCGAAACTGTACGCCATGCTGTGAATTAAAAATAACTATACGACACGGTTGCATTTTGAACCTAACTCAGGCTTGATTTTAACAAAGATAAAACCCGACACATTCAAATTGGTTAAAATATAGGCACATATGAAAGTATTCTGTGCAAGTAAAAAGAATATCATCGAATTTGATAAATACTTTGAAATACTTAATATACTGTTGCGTGCGAACGGGTTCGTAGTAAACTGAATGCACCAGGCCGATGAAAAGTGAAAAAAATTAATTATTATCACAAGAATAAAACAAAATGCTTAGAAATCTAGTTCGATTTCACAGCGAATTCGCCGCAGCAAACAACAGCAGTTTTCTAAACAAACCTTATAATAACTACAAATGAAGAACTGAGAGATTTTACATTAAATGCATTAATCTATACATTAAATGCGCGTGCTCATCTACTTTTAGTTTTTCCGGCGTATTTTTCACTTCAAGTAAGTCGTGTGCAGCATTGCAATGGGAAATGAAAGAATTTGATAGCAATTCTATTAAAAATATCAAAATAAATAAATCAATACAAAAACCGTAATAGTACTAATATTAATGTGTCTTTATGTACTTTTTAATGTGCTATAGTTTTCTTTCAATTCAAGATGTTTGTTCATAAATAGTACACACCACCTAAGTTTCCCCTCCACGTTTTCAAGCATTAAAATTGGTAGGAAAAGAGGAAGAAATAAGTAACTAAATACGTTACTTGCTATTATTGTGTAATCACATGATATTTACAACAACAGTGGTCTCAAAATAACTGCTTGCAGAGCCATTTTAATTATGAATTTGTTGCAAATACAGTGTTTCAAAGATTTCAAGATTTTAATTATTTGGATTTAGAGTTTACATTTTTACTTCCTTCTACGAAATAAAAATGAAGTATTGTAATCGCGAAAAGTTTCAGGCAACATATTTCAACGAAAATATCCATTTTGACCGCTATCGAATGCAATTTAACGATGTTTTTGCGTGATATCTGTGCTTAAGGACAGAATAAAAGACACCTTTCTTCCAAAAAAATTATAAAACTGCTTTAAAATGAATTCTGAAAAGAATTTTTCGTGGCGTCTGTACGAACGTATGTACGTACGTGCGTGCGTACGTATGTATCTCGCATAACTCAAAAACGAGTAGCCTCAGAACGTTGAAATTTTGTATATAGGACTGCTATAACATGTAGATGTGCACCTCGTATTTTGGTTGCAATCAGCAGCACCAAATGTATATAAATATATTTATATATATATCCACTCTCTTACCCGGCTCAGTGATCTCAGTTTCTTTACTCTTATATGTTTGTAAATTGTACATTTTTTGCTTTAAAAATGATTGAATTATCATGTTTTTAACTTCCGGTTAAGGTTTTTATGACTTTCGTAATTCTGGACGCAATATTTGTACAATTATCAGTGCGGTTAAGTTTTAAATAACATGGCGGACATATTTGTTTCCATTTGAAACAGTAGAATTGTAGATTTGTTGCCAATCTAGAGAGACTAAGCTTGGCAACACAAAAATAAGGCCTTCATTTATTATTGCGAATTAAATCATGCTTAATCCTTTCTGGAATTTTTTCGAGGAAATAAGTGTTTAAGATTTACTTCGTAATTTTTAATACAGATATTTTGAGTTTTTATGTATTTTTGCCTTGTCGCGAAGTGCGAGCTGAATTAATTGAATGAGAAATACTAAATCGTCTGTGAAAAACTGTTTCTTTTCTGTTTTGTTTGCTTAATTTCTTTCATACATCGTTTTAGATTTATTATAGTATTTGAATAGAACATGTGGCAACGATAATTCTTCAAATGATATAAATTTTGTGCATTCAGAGTGTCGTTATAGTAAACAAATATAGTGAACTTTAAAGAGTGCATTTATTCTATTGTGGTTTATGCGCTGTCGACAAAGTAGATTTAATTCAATCCAATCAATTTAAATGAAATTCAAGAAAAAATGCGTATAATTTAAATATTCCGTACAAGGAAGTCATGTGGTGTACACATCAGATTTTTTTCATTTCCATTAAAAACGAAAGTGAATAAACGCATTAGAAAATCTAGAAATTCACAATGCGATATAAATCTTTTTCAAGATTTGGAGACTTATAAATTTTTGTTCCTATTCGTTAAAAAGTAAATAACGTCAGTTACGAATTTTTGCAATAAGCATACTCTATTCTTTCGGGAATACATTACAACATCTTGCGTGCTTGACTATCAAAGTCAATCCAGGATAAAGTAATGTTGTTTTAAAACTCGAATCAAAAGACTGAGCTTTGACTAATTCTAAGGTATATGGTTTACCCCGTGTGTAACGTGAGTACGATCCTGTTCCCCTTAGGCGTCCCTTCCCTTAGGCAGATAATCTTCGCAGTCTTTGCTGTATTCAAATAACCAATCAACCAACTTATCTGAAGTTTGCTGGATTTGATTGGAAAGAGTAAAAGTCATTTTCCGAAGCTGCATAAAGTCGCGCTTCATTGCCTGCCTAATCATTATTTAGATACGATCGTATAAACATGGCTACTGCTGAAGTTCATTTACGGCACTATATCTTGCACAAATTTCAACAAGAAAAATATGCTACAGAGGTGTGTCTAAATTTAAAGAAAATTTTTGTTGGAAATGCAGTTTTGGTCAGAGCATTCAGGATATGGTTCAAACAATTTGAGGTAGATGATTTCGACCTTAATGGTAAGCCAAGCTATATGCTTTCAATCGATGATGGTATTGTCAGGACCATGATAGAGCAAGATCTTTTTTTAACAACTTCGGAGATTGTAAAAAAAAAGCTTAACTCATCTCAACAAACCATTTCGTACCAGATACGTAAACTAGTATTGGATTATAAATATTCTAAATGGGTGCCTTATGAGTTAAGTGACAAACTTTTGCATGATCGAGTCGTCATATGCATAGCTCTGCATGTTTGGAACGCAAACGAATCTTTCTTGGACGGGATGATAACTGATGATGAGAAATGGATTACCTATGAAAATATCGTTAGAGTTGTCAGCCCAAAAAAATCTAACATCTTCACCTCTAAACTGAGCTGGAGCTTGAGGATGCTGATTGTACAGCCAGGGTCCAATAAATTATGAGCTTTACAAACCTGACGAAAAACTCCATTCGGAAAGATACCCTCAATAAATGGATGATTCCAAACGAAGCAGTCAAAGAAACAACGCCGGCGATGTTGATTAGAAAGCGCATCATACTGCATTCATGATAATGCCCCACCAACATGCTGTATAAATACGCATCCGTCCATTACATATCGCGTTCGCACTATTCTAAAACTCAATATTCAAATCAAATAATAAAAACATTTCGCTTACCTGTCAGACTCAGCATTGATTCTTACATTCTGTTATTTTATCCAAATTTTATTGACGGCACAACTGAATACATTTACAATAAAGAAACACATATAAATTTAGTTTGAGTTTCGAAACTTAATGTACTTTCGTTTTACATCTCTCACAGTCAGCAATGTTCTAAACTACTCAAAAGAATTCAGGCGTACACAGCGCCATCTGGTGCAATACAGTTTCTGCATGCTGCTTTGGCGACTCGTCAAAAAAAAATGGTAGAGCTAGACTTCGAAATTCTGCCCCATCTGCCATACTGCTCTTGTAATAAAAATGTGTGATGCTCGCTGTAATGTACAATGTGCGCGAATACAACGACCAAGTAAAGCATGAGGTGTGTAAATGTGTGCAAATGTATGTAAATGTACCCCAACTGTGTAATATTCACTCAGCAATGACTAAGCAATTCCATGTATTAAGTTAAGTAAAGTGTATGTTTATCAGTAACGCTGTAAAGTAAAGAATACTGTGTGAAAAATTGCATTATGTGTACAATGTGTGTAAATTTCATGATCAACGAAATGTAATCCAGTGCGTAATTTTTGTAAGTAATTCTGTACGTCAATCAGCAACGCACAAAGTAATGAATAACGTGTGTAAATTGTAATGCATCATGTGTGAAAATTGTAATGCATTATGTGTGAAAATTGTAATGCATTATGTGTGCGTAATGCATTATGTGTGCAACGTGTGTAAATTCCCTGATCAACGAAATGTAATCCAGTAATGTCCGTTCTAATGAAGGTAAAGTTAAGTATGAAATTGTCATAATGAAATTTACGTAACAAAATGTAGGTAATGTCCGTCCTAAGGTATGTAATGAATGTAATGTAATGAAATGTAATGAATGTAAAGTAAAGTATAAAAATGTACTAATGAAATGCACATAATGAAATGTATATAATGTCCGTCCAAATGATTGTAATGAATGCAACGTAACGCAACGTATGTAATCTGTCCGAACGAAATGTCTGTCCTAATGAAATGTAAGGAAAATGCAGTAAGCCACTAGTCATGCCAATAGCGCATGCTAATACGTCAAGTCACGTCATGGTAAATGTATTTTATATGCTCTGTCTTTGTATATGATTTATCTTTGTATATGATTTTATATTTGTATATGATTTATGTGCTCTGTCTTTATATATGAGAGGTATTATATGCATGTTTACCTATATGTCTAATGTTTATGTTACTATTATGTTCATGTCTCATGAAAAAGTAACGAAGCCCTTGTAATCAAACAAATAGCTGTAAGAAGGCCCCAACGAGCCTAATGCCTTTGTATGGCCCTGGGGCCTGGGCGGCTGGATGTCAGTGCACCAGAAGGGATGCCCTTTTCCCTATTGGTCGGCACAACTGCAAGTGCGGAGAATTAGACGTTTGGTTTCGGCGTCAGCGCGGGAGGTTTGAGCGACCCTATGGGGTGTAATTCTAGATAGTTGCGGGTCCTGGACTACACCCGAGTAGTCTTTTGCAAAGTCGTGCGGAAGTCCAGGGCTTGCAGTCACCTGTCACCTGGAATACTGCTCCTGGTACGTAGCAATAGTCTGTCAACAATATGTAATAATGCCATTATCAATACTGCCTTAGACTTTCCCAGTTTGCAAATGCAGTGATGACCCTTGTTAGCCCATGTAATTTTCTATACATACAACTACAAATACAGAGGCTCTGACAAGCGGATGGGAGAATATCCTCGGAGGGCGCTTTTGGTCAGTGGGACCGTCCTCGGGATACACCGGGCGCTGGTTTCGGCGCCCCATGCGAGACCCTCGTGTAGCCCTCAAGTTCGACTATAGATACTGGTGGACGTGGCGCTACACCAATTAACCGTATGGTAAAGGGGTGGTGCCACGTCCTCCGTCGCATGTCGCATGCCATACTGCTCCATCTGCCATACTGCTATTATAGGAATCCGCTGTGCCCCTGTTTTCCTCCATCTGCCCCTGTTTGCAATATTCTTTTTCTGGACAGTTCTGGAATTCGGACGATACCCGAGTTAGTCAATGAAAGCCGTCCGGGTGTCCGGACCCTGCTCTCCCCTGTCACCTGCTATACTACTCAGAACAAGAACCCTACGACTATCACATGTTTCTCTCCTAGCAAAATTTTGTGAAGGTAAAAAGTTCAAAATTTAAGCAGATGTCAGCCAAGCTTTACTTGTATACATTACTTTAATTCTTCGCCTCTAAAAAACGGTTATTACAAATTACTGTTTCCACTCGCTAAGTAAAGACAGAATTTGCACTCTTCACTAAATAATATTAAAGATATGAAAAATGAGTTATTTTCCTTCGCTTCCCAAACGGACAGAATTTTTCGTAAACCTTATATATTTGTAAGTCATTTCCGTGTTTGATGGTGAATATATTTTTTCCAGGTTTTGCTTATACTATCCGAAAGTCCAAGATGATTTCTGATTATGTTCAAAGTGTTTTGAATGCCTCTCCTTACTCACTTACAGTCACTGCAATAGCTGTTCTTTTATGGCTCATATATTACGCCACAACAAACAGAGGATTACCACCAGGACCCAGCGGAGTTCCTATATTGGGTATTTATCCATTTCTGAAGAATGATAATTTGCATCTTCAGTTGGATAATTATGCTAGGAAGTATGGAGACATCTTCAGCTTCAGAGTGGCTGGTAAACTATTTATCAACCTGGGAAGTGTGAAAGCTGTACGTGAAGCCCATATTACTAATTCCGAGTACTTTAGCGGAAGATCCACCGATTTCAATGGATTAACTCCTTTGTTTGGTGATGGTAATTATGTTCCAGATTTCATTTTCTTGCTTTTCATTTTTTTCCAAGCAATAGAATAACATTTTGACTGTATATATAAATACTGAAGAAATATAGTTATTATAGGTGCGGACATATCTTTCTAAGAACATCATTGCTGAATTTGTGCAACTATTTTTCCTATTACGAAGCTGGCAGATACACAGTCATCTCTCACTTATTTGACATCAAAGGCATCAATGGCAAAAATATATAAGAAAGACCTTAGTAAAAGCTGAGATCATTTTAGAATTCCAGAATTATTACATGCTAAACGACAATTTCGTTTTATCAAACTTGAATCATAATTTTGATTAATTTCTATATTATAGCATATTAGAAATAGAAATTCGTATATGTTATACATAAATTAATTTAATATGCATAAATAGTTTCTGTAAGCAGTTATATCTTCTAAAAATGTTGTTAGTATTATTTTTTACTCTTGTTATAGCGTGTGGAAAAATAGACCTTTTTCTGGTTCGTTAAGCAATTTGTAATACACGACTTTAATCGGGTCAAAATAACTCGAGGGTTTTGCACCACATTAAGGCACCCACTCAAAGTTGTTTTTGTGACATTTCGCAAAAAATGTCATGAAACACTATTCCAGATTCTCGCACACGTTAATTAACTAAGTAATTAAAAATTATCAATATCTTATAATTTTTTAAATAAATAGTTGTTTACTTAACACATCGAAGAAAAATTGGTCAAGATTTTGCTGTTTTCACCTTATGTATTTCTTGGTCTAGCAAAGGAGATAGCATTAGCACTTAAAAGACACTGCTGGCCATTAAAATTGCAACACCATGATGAAAAGAAAATACAAAAAGATATTTATTGTACGTAAACAGTATGGCATAAAGACAAAATTATTAACTTTGTAAACAGTTTTGGGGTTTACAGGGGTGTGAAATCAGTAGAAACAGCTACCACTCCCCGTCAGATAAAACGGCCCGTACCCCGTTATTCATGGAGTCGAAATGGGCTTCAATGACAGAAACGGACAATTCATTCCATGCTGCTTCAAGTCTATGCCATACTTCATCAATCGTATTAGCTGGAGAGGGATGGCAGGCCAGTCTCTCAGCAGCCCATGGCCACATGTTTTCAATGGGTGATAGATCTGAAGACCGTGCATGCAAGGAAAGCAGTCGAATACCCTGTGTATTGAGGAAGGTCAGAACACGGCTTGCAACATATGGGCTAGCATTGTTTTGCTGGAAGATATCCATTTGGCAGGTCTCGAAGATAGGGCACAACCACTAGACGTAAAATGTCAGAAATGTACCGATCTCGGTTCCAATTACCGTCGATCCGAACTAGGGATGTGCGTGTCGTGTACCCAGTGGCTGCCCAAACCATCACACCAAGTGCACGGTCTCTGTGAGGATATCGAATGCAAGCAGGCGACGTGCGGTCTCCGCGGAGCCCCCAGACACGTATATGGCCATCAGAATACTTCAAGCAGACACGGGACTCGTCTGAAAAGGCGAAGTTGTGTGACTCTTGTATCCAGCTTTGTCGTTCGGGGCACCAGAGTCGCCGTCTTTCTCTATGCTGCACTGTCAAGAAAAGCGGAAGTAATGGGCGCCATGCTGATAGTTCACGCTGCTGGAAACGTCGACATATCGTGCGACAGGATACTCAGCGCGCTGCAAACATACCCATTTTCTGACTAATGGTACGTTAAGTAATTATACGATTTTTCAGGGCTGACCTCACAATATGTCTATCCTTTGTGACGTTAGTCAGGGCGGAGCGTTGAGATTCTGCATGCCGTTCAGTATAACCCTCAGCAATCCATTGATTCCATACTCCTATGACAGTGGTTGGATGTCGACTAGTGTGACAAGTGATATCGCGGAACGATAATCCACACTCTCGATAGGCAACGATCCTGCCTCTATCGAATTCAGACATTTGATGGTAAGCATTTGTTATTATTCGAGGCATAATACGTTACTGAGCAAACTCCGACCTTCCGAATGGAAAATCCACTACGCAACTTTTCTTTTATGCAGCGCTTCAGATGTCGTTTCTTCCTCTTGCGCCGTCTAAATGCGCTGAAATACTATTCATTTGCATATGCCAACCTCTTCTTCCTTTTATGTGATTTTGACATTCTTCAGATCATTCCTTCCTGGTGTTGCAATTTTAAAAGCCAGCAGAGAATTTTTTGCAAGCCTTGTTCAAGGCGACATAGTGAAATAAATCCACAGATAGGAGAAAGGGTGTCGAATGTAATAATTCTATTTTCTCTTTTTAAAAAAAAAAAAAAAAAAAAAAAAAAAAAAAGATAACTTGAATATTTTATCTCGAAGAAGTTCCTGTCTTGTCCAACGAAATTTTTTTCAACCTGTGTTTTATTTATTTATTTAATTATTTTTACTGAATGCTTCGGAAGTAACTTTCTCGGTTTATAGGGAATTCAGTTTACGCATAGTAAAATAAGAAATATAGCCGCTTGAAAGAAATAATTGTTGCAACTTTTGCTTCCAAGTGATCAGGGGAACGTAATGCATTGAATAATTGAGTTTTTATTACATATTTACGCAAATCTCATTAATTTGCGATGAAACAATATCCTAGCAATATTTCCATATCATATGGCTTTATTATTTTGAACAGGAAATTTTAAATGTAAGTCTCATGTTTAACTTATTAGGAATACATTTTTAAACTTGTAAAGTTGCGCGCTTCCAACCTGCACGCAACAAAGTGGTGACTGCTGAGAACTATAGTGGTGACTCCTGGAAATAGACCAAAGTCTTGAGAAGGGTTTAAATCCCTTTTTATTCAACTTTAGAAATTACAAATGCGTGCTCTTGACGCTCACAAACTACGCCGACCCGGCGGTAAAATAAAATAAGAAACTGAAAGGAGATAATAACAAGTCACTAACTACGAGGCTCTCTAAACGTAACTAACCTCACGCGTTCAAAATACCGCTGATAATTCAGCAAACTCTGATATTACGTTGAAAGATTAACAATTTGCCGAGGCAAGCTCACGGCCGAATGCGTGGTTCTTCATTTCTAAACTGCCACCTCCACACTCGTGAAGCAAGAAAGCACACCTTCGAACTCGTTTCCTTTCTATTTAACTCAGAATACTTCCGCTGATAATTGAATCCTTGCGCGTTCTACTAAATTTACATACACTGTCATTGGCAATTCCAGGGGAAAGTAAGGCTTGACAGGAAAGATAGTTTAACTCTTTCGCATCGAGAGACGACCAAATCTGTTTTCAACAACCGAAAACGCCGTGTTTACGAATTTGTCTTGGAATAGTTTTCCTTTCCCCCTTGCTGCTCTTGGAGGTTTTTCTACGGTTTCTTCCATTGTGTGCAGTTTCGCCTTAGGGCCGGATTGCACCTGCGAACGTCATTGCACCTGCGAACGTCAATAGCTTTCCGTATTTCTCCTTTATTTGCTTCAAAAGAATGATTGACATGTCTTTTAACAACTCGCGAAACCAATGAGCCATACACTAACGTGGAGGGGAAAGAACTAGGTAGAAAATAAACGAGGCGTTGGGGCGGTTTGACGTTGGCTGAATGAACGGGCGCTACGGGCGGCTTCGATGCGAAAGAGTTAAACTTACAATAAATGTTAGTTAAAATAAATATAAACCCTACAAACTATAGCAAACTGTTTAACTTAAATTTCTTTCAGATGTTAAACAGAAATATGCGTACAAAGACTAGACTGCAATTTCTATTTAATCTTATAATTTTTATATTTTTTAATTTTAAATACTATTTTTAACTACTTAAGAGTAGTAAACACTTCGAGATACTGGATTGTAGTATAATATACCAAAATTAAATATGGCTAGTGACATCATAGGCTGCGTAAGCAAGATAGTAGAGGTGAACAATGAAACGCGGAAAAGATAAGACGTGTTTGAACATGTCTGAGATCGACACTGGAACAAGCATCGTGGATTTCTGTCAGTGATACCCTAGCTTTGAAAAATATAACAGCGGCTATAAAATAAAGCACCGAACGAATTTGAAGTTATTTTGCAAACTTGCGCGAATCTACGAATGAAAATTATAACATACTGGGCAACATGTTCACGAAAATGCAGCCCAATCTTTTAACTGAATTTATGAAGAACGTTTCCGGGGTGGATGGTATTCCATTGAAGACAGTTCAATGTGGTAGGCTTACAAAGTCTCATAATAAAAAAAAAGCAATGTTGCTTAGAAAGAACAACAAAAAAAGTTAACACGTACAAAGATGCTTTGGCCCATTTACTGAAAAGGATCCATTGTGCACGCCCAGAAGACTCTGTGGCGGGAACTTGGTTATTCGCTCCATGGTAATGCCCCCGCCCTTCTTGTGAAGCAATTTATGACCTGTGAAGGAGCTATAATCCTCAACCATCAGCTGTGCTCATCTAATCTTGCTTCCGTAGATTTCTCTGTACCAGCCATTAAAGAGAGCAATTTTCGAAAATTCTAGACATTCAAAGCCATATTGGGAAAGTTCTTCCTGCTGTTCTGAAAGAATGTTTTTCCCGGCAGTTTTCAAGATTTATACAGCCGTCGTCAATCTTTCATTGAACATGACCGATTTTACTTCAAACAAACATAAAATGATTTTCCTGGTTTAGATAACGACAATTTGTTTATATTCAATCTTAATCAGGAAATGATGGTACCTGATTTAGGTTGAATTATTTATTTATATAACCTTAGAATTTTGTTCTGATACCTTATATTAAATTTTCAGATTTTAATATTTGTAGCGTAGTTATCAGAAATTCACAAAAACGCTTAAGTTGTTTATACTAATATTTAGCCATAATTTAGATTATATATTCCATTTCAATTAATTAAGTTCTGCAGTACTTCATGATTAATATTATTTCTTTCATTTTCGATAACATCTTATAATATATGATTATGGATATGTTTCAAGTCATGAAATTTCTTTATAGGTGTCTTTTTTAGCAACGGTGAAGCATGGAAGACTCTTCGAAAATTCTTCCTTAATACCTTCAAAGATATTGGTTTGAAATCCATGAAATATAACATGACAGGTCCTGTGTATGATACCATTGATTCCACCATCAAAGACCTGCGTAGCCTAAATGGTGAACCTGTCGATATTGTTGAGACTGTGAATAACAAATTCATGAATACGGCGCGTTGCACATTCTTCGGAGAAGATGGTATCTCCATGGAGCAGTTTCGTAAATTAATTGAACATTACATAATTACGATTGAAATCTTGACTGGAAGTTATACTCTTCTTTATGGAACTATAGCAAAGTAATTTTTAGTTTTAAATTCATTCTTAATCAACGAATATTGAGTATGTTGAGTCACTTGAGTATGTTTCAATGAAAGTGTAGCATTTAATTAAAACTTAGTATCCAAGTAGTAAACAAAGGAGTTAACGCGAAGTTCGCTCAAACCTTTTACCGGTGTAACAGTTTAAATACCGGAAACTGTAATGCAAATTCGAATAATGCAATCTTATCTGAGCTAGTTAGCATACCAACGTGGCCTCGGGATGCAGAATCATGCTCTGTCTTACAGTCCGAAAATCTCGCTTTATATACTCTTGAACTAATTTCCATTCTGTTAGGAAAACATCCAAGGTTTTGAAGATACCATGAAATTTTGTTAGTGTAAAAAGGTATTCAAAAAATTATTTTGTACTAATTTGTAAAAATTTACTTCATCGTACTGATTCTCTGCAACTGTCGGCAAACGTGCGGATGAACGGGACTCAATGACATTTCCGCACGGTTGCCGACAGTTATGTATTTTGCAAAGCTTTCCTCCGAGTATGTGATAGAATTGAAGCCTGCAACTTCTGGAGTTATATAAGAGATTACTTTTATATAACTTCTTCTTTATTGCTCCAGCAGGAAAAAGGCCACTTAATGTTACAAAGAATTATCGCATTTTCCCGTTAGAGTATCATGATGATTTATGAGATTCATGAGAATATCATGATTTTTAAAATATTTTTTTTAAATTTACATAGGTTAGCTCGTTCAGTAAATAGTTGAAAGATCCTTAGTTTGAATGCTGAGAGATTATTTTTCATTTTTTTCCGTCATCTAGAAACCTAGAGTTTGGGTAATTCGCCGCTATTGGATTTGCCCCTGCAGTTGCATTTCAAATGGAGGAGAAAATAAATAATTACCACAATCCTCTATGGGTTTTCTTCTGATTTGAGTGATTAGGAAATCCCACAGCAACTGCGAGATGCATGGTTTGAAGACCAGGAAGTGCATAGGAGATTTTCCATGTTTCTAATTTTGAATAAACGTAATGTTCTCTATACTGCCGCATGATAGTGAGCTTCGTAACGACGAGTATGCCTTTATCTCTTCATGAAACTTATAATTGGCCCTAGTCTTTGAGAGATGAAATGTAATTTTATCAGGACTTATATTCCTCTTGACTTGCTTTGGAAACATGAACTGTGTCCTGACTCGGAACAGGAAGCTTACTCAAGCTATGTTCAATAAATTGTGAAGTAGACACTACAAGCAGGAAGGGTATATAAAACCCTTTATTTTTTCTATCTTTACAGGTATTTCCGGAACTTCGGAATACAGAGACCAACCACTTGTGGTCTAAACGTAAGAATATAAAACTACTAACTAAAACTCTAACTAAAACTAACTTCGAATTAGTATACAAGTGCCTAGCAATAAGATTGGCCGTTATTTAACAAAGTCCGTATGTAGTACAGAGAGCTGCTAAAACTACGATACGTTTGAAATTATCAAGAGGACTAAACCTCTGGCCTTGAAGTCAACCAGCAACCGAGTGAAAAATTACTATGGCAAGCGACCTGCTTCTAATAACTCCTTCCTCTCTCTTGTTTGGCAAAAAGCCACAACTTAAGTACTTGGCGTTAGCAAGATAAATTTGCATAAATAAGTTAAAGCTTTTAATTCTGGCCGGAAGTAGAAAATAAGAAGTGATAGTAAAGATTTAAAATAAAATAAACTTTAGTAAAACTTAGGATCCTTACAATTTCAGTGGACCTTCTCTAAAACGAACATCCATGATTTCAGATAATTTAGGTCTTTTGTGGAAGTGGTCGTCTTAGAGACTTGAATGTTCAGTACCGATAGTTATTTATGTTCTCACAAATAATGGTTACTTTTGAAATTGGTTTCTACGATTTCATATTAGTATTAATAAAGTTGCTATATTCAGTATATGGTCAGACTTGGGACATCTTATGTTTACCAACGCTGCATCAGATATCCAAATTTTAAATTATTTTTGTTTTCACTTTTCAGGTATTTCGTCATGCCATTCAGTTCCGGTTGTCGCGCATCCGTTGCCTCCCAGAAACAAATGGAAGATATCATATTCGAAGTCATAGAACACCACGAGAAGACCCTGGATGAAAATCACAACCGGAACATAATCGATGCTTATCTGAAAGAACGAAACGAGCGAAGGCGGAAGGGCGATCACACTGCTAAGTATTTTACAAGTACTGTGATATTTCGTTGTTTAGGTTTTATTTAGTTACCTTTCCATTGAGTTCTTTCTTATTCTCTTTCTTCGATTACGATACTTTCTGAAAGTAAAAGCTAATGCAAATTTTGCGGCAAGCTTTACAACTAAGATGTAATCTTAACGGGAGCAAATGCTCTGAAATACTACCTTCCAGCAGCAAAAAACACTCGAAGAGTAGGAATTTAGAACTACCAAACCAATGAATGTATCAGGAAAAATTAAGAAGCTGTTCGATTTGTTCAACCCTCCCCAGAATTATTTCGAACATACTCAGAAAACTGCAAAGTGCGGGTGAATTGCCCCTGTAAAATAAGCTTCAAGTTTACACTAAATGCTTCTCCTCGAGTTGACGGAGCCACATCTGCATCAAGGAAGGTTTTCTTCTTTTTCTTAGTTCTTTGGCTAAGGTGTCGGTGGAGTTTGGTATATGTTAGAAAAGAAGCTGATTCCAGTTCCCAATCCAAAGTTTGTTGTCGTATCTGTGTAGTTTTTTGCTTGCTGAAATCATGTCTTAGTCTTCAGCATACCTGCAAGTATCGCTTATCGAAGTTGTATAATTTAACTTTTTTTAATTGTATTAACCAAAAGTCATGGCTAATAAAATTTTGTGTTATTTTCTACTTTGAATTTGATCTTGTCTTTAAACTATTTTGTGACTTATTTATCAAATATTTACAGAAGCCAAACTCGGAAGTCATTAAACTTCTCTGCTTAGAGTCAATTGTTAGGTTTTAGGACAAGCAGCTTCGAGTTAGCTCAACACCTTCGAAGTTATGAGCTTAAAACCGCTCAGCCGTTAGTAGAGTTTTGTTTTATTTAATCAGTTTCTTTTCTGCGTTTCTCATGAAGTAGATATTGGTCGTTGTTGCAGAAAGTTTCAAATTGTGGGATGTAGAATCTTAAGTTCAGATTTCACCTTGCTGTTTATTTCCACACATGTTGTTTTAAGGCTGCACAAATATATTCAGCTTTTTCTTATGACACACATGTTCTTTGAAGGTTTGCCGGTTTGCGAAAATAAACCATGTTTTTAAATTTCAAGTATTAGTCGCATACAGATGTTTTACATGGAATAGATTTGCTAGAACTTGATCGAAAGTTTCGTTGAACAACAGGTATAGGAAACTACAGATTAAGAGCTGTTGAAGAACAATAAGTAGTGATGTAGATACCAGTCCATCTCCAATTAATCACCAGGTAATGCTTCTATGCACTAAACATTTCGAGAACAGTAATTTAACGGCTGCTGTGAGCATCCGCACTGATGCCCATCCACAATGGACGACAGAGGTGCCATCTGCACTCTCCAGTGGGCCTCTCAAGAACAAATATCTCTATCAACTCCAGTACTGTTTCAAGAAATGGTTAGGTTATTTATATTTACACTGCTGCCTTGGTACACTATTACTTGGTATATTAACCTTTTGAAGACGGGATGGCCATTATAGTTGCCATAGAGTTCTCTCTTTGAAAAGACGGGGTTGTCCACTTTAGTTGCCATATACTGTTACCCCCCCCCCATTTTCAAGGCTGAAAAGTGGGGTGAAATGTCAAATTTGACGTGCCTAGGGTTTTAACCACTTATCTCTTTCAAAGGTCTTCCTTTTGCGACATAGATGCACCCCTCTGAGAATCTATTAAACTACACACAAGAATCTTTGTTGCAAATAGGAGGTGATTTCTTAAAAGGGGGAAAGCATTCAGTTCAAGATTCCTCGTCCTTTGGTAGCTTTTACTGCTACCAAAGCCCCCGGCCTCAAAAGGTTAATCACGCTAATTCGTTCTTAATTTTGGAGTAATACAAAACACTCAATCCTGAAACAATATAGTTCTTATTATAGTCATTATTATAATCCTAAATACTGCCCTAATACAAATATTTTTGAATAAATAATACAATATTAATGCTATTAATAATGTGTAGAATAAAATGGTAATAAATACAGTTTAAAAGCATATTCATTTAAGAATTATTGTAGCAGTTCAACAGTACTTTTAGTAATAGCAGTTTAATGTTCTTTTATGTTACTTTGATACGTTTATATCTTCACTTCCTCCTTTGTTCATGATATTGCTGATTTTCAAGATTAAGGCTGGAATTTTAATTGTGACTTTTAAATACCCATTCAATATTTTAAGAATGTTCTAGATGCAATTTTCTTGGTCATTGAACATTGGCAAGACCGAATAGTCTGCAAGTATTAGTATAAGAAATATTTCTGTCGAAGAAATATATAGGCAAGGGGCCATAACCTTTTACAAACGGGATGAGAAACGATTTGAATCTTCTGGATCTTCTTAGTTTCGCTGAAACTTATTGGAAGAAATCACGTGTTCTCCTTTCTGGCGCGAAGTCTTATTCTTGTTGCCAGTTCATCTACATTTTCATCTCTTTAATAGCATTATCTTGAACATGGAATCTTTTCAGATAAAATGGAAATCTCCCATGACCTGTAATTAACTGATTCAAGTCAGTGTCATTGTTTATATTCATATTTTCCTTAGAAACAAAAATCTTCATGAATATATTAGTTTTAGCAGAGTTTTCCCATTAAGTCCGCCATTTATCTACAATGTCCCACTTCATAATGTTATGCATCTTCTCCTGAACTTGTACAATCGACGTTTCCATATCATTACTCACTGTTGCCTCCTTTGCTAAGACTCCGCCCTCTCATTGCCCAAACAACCAATATGGGCGTTAAACCCAATTAAAATTCAATTGATGCCTTACCTCCAATTGTATCACCAATTTTTTAATAATTTGAATATTTAAATTTTGCTGCTCGGGGTCAGAGAGTGCAGGGATTATCCTTCTGTATATGCTACTGGGTATCGTGTGAGGATTCTGCTTGGATAGATGTCAAATTGTGTTTTATTTGCAGGGGTTGCTGGATAATGTTGGCGGGGAAGTACGAGTAGTTTTGTTCGAAATGATCTGGAATGACCAATTTTCCACTTAGTTCTACACTGCTTTAGTTATAGAACTTTAATACTTGCTCTCTGCTATAATGGTGAGCTGAATTAGAATTATATTTGTCATTTAAATCTACAGTGTCGTTGAATAATAATAAGAAATTCATCTTCATTTGCTCGACAACCTGGGTGGGCCCTGACCTTCTCCATAAAACTTTGCTTTTGGCATTTGCCTTCAGGTGTTTTACCTTTAGAATGTTTAAGTCTTTTTCAATGCAATCTATCCATCTCACTGGGAGTTTACTCCTAGGTCTGGTTCCCATGAGCTTTGCCAGAAAGACTTTTTGCCAACACTGATCTTCATGCTCTGGTGAGATTATCTATAGCTCTAAATTAGATCTTCTCCACGATCCATTCACTTGGACTCCAGCAAGTATTCAGCGCAAAATCCTTCTCTCAAAAATTCCCAAAGCTTCCTCACCCACCCAAGCTAACAATAGCATATTACATTTTGCTAAATTCTAAAATGCAGGATGTCAACTGCTTATCCGCATTCGCATATCACTTCCAAGTTTCATTCTAATGTCTTTCATTGTATTTCTTATATATATATATATTTGGAAATGTATATTGCTTTCCTAACAGCTCTGTAAATTTCGTGAATACGAATTTATCAAAACTTGCTTTTTAAAAGATTAGAGATATGTGATTATCAACAGAAGATCTTCAAGCAATACACTTATGTGTAATAAAAAATGCTACAGGCTATCTGACACCTTTATTTACCTTTATTATGCGGTCAATATAAGAGTGAGAACGCAGTTGGTTTCTTTTCTACAATACTATCTCTCATTTTGTACACATCGTGGATAGCTTGTCAGATCTTGAGAATTGAGGGATTGATTAGTTTATTAAGGCAAAGCTCACGCTATAACTGCTCTTGGGATCATGCAATGGTCCTTTAGACAACATAAATGAGTTTAAAAAATTTTTTTCGTCCCGCTTTATGGAAAGGGGACCGGTCTCGCCTAGAAACCAGCGCCCGTCTAGAGCATTTAAGACTACACATTTGCTTATTTATCTTTACTTTGCTGAAATGTATCTCAACGTAACCCAAATTGCAGTTTATACTAGTAAATTACTGAACAACTAATGAAGTAAGTAATATTTTGCATAAACACGCATTTTTAATATAATAAATTTAAACAGAAACAAAAAGTATGAGACAAAAACTACTAAAATGCACTAATTACTTGCATAAAACTATAAATGTTTTAAAAAATTTGTTAAACTAAGAAAATTATATGTAAAAATAAATAAATTAAGATGCATACAATTATTTTCTATGAACTAGAAGCATGAGAAAAGCGACCGCTAAGAGAAGCATAATAAAAACGCAACTGTGAGTGTTTTTCAGTGTGCTTTGTGTCTCTGTAAAAAATAAGAAATGTTTTCCCTATATCAAAAGCTCCATAAATCCTCATCTTTGAAGCCACTCAAGTTAAGATATTGTGCAACTGTTTACAGCAGTGATCCGAAAGCAATAAACACAACTGCAAAAATCTCGCAACTGCGTCATCTGATACTTTCTTCGATGTCCCAGAGGGGCGGTGGTTTCATACTGAAACCGCAATGAAAACATTCAAAATTAAAAGGGTTCCATTACTTTTTGTGAACTAAGGACATTTCATTACTCATTGATGCCTGCTTATAAATATATTGTGGAAAAATTAAAAATTTTTGGGGTTTTTTTTTTTTTTTTTTTTTGGTTTTAAATGGGTCAAAAAGAGGAGTGTGCAAAAGAAGATATTTTTGAATGATTCGTATCAATTAATGGATGCCCAGAAAGGTTTGGTGCTGCCATCTGTTATCAGCTTTAAGAAGTAATTTAATTTTAACAGCGGTTTCGAGAAAAAAAAAATTTCTAAATTTAAAAAAATGTTGAAAATGCAGTTTCAAGGCGAAACCACCGCCCCTGAAAGGGTTAAACGGCGACTGGGGATTAAGGGAACCAGTCGCCAAATCCTGGTGGTGACGAATTATCTTTAACCACCTTTTAGATCGGGTGCCGCTGCCATTAGGTTATTTTTAAGGAGATGTGAAAAATGTGCAGTGCTCTTTCGGGCATCCGAACCCTCGACGACCCGAATACGCGCCGAGTGTGCTACGGTTACATCCCGAAGGCTTGCTGAAAGGAAGAAAAAAAGAGGCTTTATAACCTAATGTAAATTTCGTTTAGATTTTTCCGAGCTTTCTTTACCTCGTACTTTGTTTTATTTCAAAATTTTCTCTCCAAAAGTAACGTCCGTTTATATTGCTTGTTTATTGTTTATTGTTTATTTGCTTTCTTCCAATAGAAAAAGCTTTGGCTGGCTCACTTGCTCAGTTTTTGGGAGATGGTCATCAAGCTGTTGTACTCTTTGTTGGAAAATTATTTCTTACATTGGTACAACATCCGGAAGTGCAAGAAAAGATATACGAAGAATTGGTAGACGTCGTTGGCACGGACAGGAATCCAAGCTTAGGAGACAAAAGCAATTTACCTTATGCGAACGCATTCATGTATGAGCTTTCAAGAACATCTGATTTATTGCCTTTTATCCCCAGTCTTGTGTGTACAAGTAAGTAAAGAAAAATTTACATTTAAAAGGATATCAAGTCTGTATTTTCTATACATGGAATTATATAATATAGGTTGCACTTTATAAGATTACAGCATGTACTCGATTATAAAGAACAAGGAAACAAGAATGATAAAAAGAAATTCAGCCAACAGTTGTAGGGACATCAGGTTAATTTGAAGCCGGAGACATAAAAATGAGCAATGAGGTTCGACGGGACTCGAACCTCGGATCTCTCGAATACGCGTCGAGTATGCTAACCGTTACACCATGAAGGCATGCTAAGAAGTCGGGAGGAATACCGCCCACCAGCGGCCGAGCGGTAAAGTCGCTGGAACACTGGTAGTTCGGTTCGAGTCCCGCGAACGGGCTGGCTGCATGGGTGTTTTCGTGGTTTTCCCCATGTGTAACGTGTATACGAGCCAGTTTCCCTTAGAAAGTCCTCCACAAAGGCATCCCTCCCTTTAGGCAGATAGCCCTAGTGTGCTTTGCCATAATTAAATACACCATACGGGAGGAATACCTTATACATTTACTACGTACTAGAATTTCTAAATGCAAACATTACACTCGGGTTTCATTTTCCATTCCACCGCAAAAAGATGCACATAAATCTCTTCCCTATCTTCACCATTTGAACCATATTACCAGCAGCGACAAATTAATATTCGAATTTTCAAGAAGCAGGTAACTCATAAATTGGTAGTGGGGAAAGTCTAAGAATACGGATGCCTTCCTGGAGAACAAGAAAATTCACATTACGCATGGGGAAAATCCTGAAAGCACGCACGCATTTCAAACTCCTCATCAGGATTTGAACCTGGATTGAACTACTAGTGTTCAGCTATAGTATGAACGCTTAGTTACTGTGTTTCTGAGAAAAGGAATGGAGGAATAAATTCGGAAAACAGCTATTCTAAAAGTGCCATTCTAAATGAGCCATTTTTTTAAGGAAAAACACATTTTTTTAATTATGAGATGACATTGTAGACTCATTAGGTTAATTGGAAGCAGAAAAGATAAAAATATGCAACCGCCTTCACCGGGAATCGAACCACGGACCTCTGGAATACCGGCCCAGCGTGCTACCGTTACACCCCGAAGGCACACTAGGGAAGTGGGAGAAATACCTTATATACTCCCCTTTTTAAAGGGCGACTAGGGGTTTTAGGAGACCTAGTCGCCAAATCCTGGGTGTGGATAATCATCATCCACAATGCGTTTAGTTCGGGCGCCACTTGTAGAGTCATTAGGATTTTTGGAAGCAGACAAGATGAAAAATATGCAACCGCCTTGTACCTGCCCAGCGTACAACCGTTACACCACGAAGGCACGCTAGGGAAATGGGAGAAATACCTTTATAACATGGGATACGGTTTTTTATAATTTAAAGTGTCGCTTGTTAGCATAGCTTTTGGGGAAGCTACTGTTTTAGTTAGTTATTTTTGATTCCGAATACAGGATTCAGTGTTTAATTCAAAGTCATTAACTATAATTTGTGTAGGTTTATTATTTCCGAAATTGCCATGAGAAAGATATATATTTTCTTTATTTTAATGCCAAAATGCCTCTGATACTTTATACCTGAATTTATGTATTTCTAATATATTGACTTAATATTTTGGATATATTTCAATATGCACGTATATATACTTTCTTGAAGACATCACGAAAAATATTCTAGACGGTACATATACGGCTTGCTGGTCAAAGGGTTTTAAAAATGCATTAATTTTAATAGTAAACTACTATCAACTTCTCTGCCAGCCTTCGTCTGGCTTTTAAATGTACCAGAAAAATGACTGAAGGGAACACCAAACGTTAAATTTAAAAACTGCGTGGAATTTTACTCTGCAGAACAACTTCATAAAAAAATATTACGTATAACAAAATTACAATGAAATAAGCAATATCCCTTAATACAAATATTAAATATCCAATAAATAAATTAACCACTTCTCTTTGCAAAATCTAAGAATCAAATGGTATAAAGAGGTTAAGAACTTTTGTTTCTTAAAAAAACACTCAAAAACTTTTCAATACCTTAAACAGTGAAATGAGCAATAAATAACAAAAAGAATACAAAAACAAAACATTCTAAAAAGCAAAGTATATTAATAATATTTATCTTATATTTTCAATAGAAAAGAATACAATGAATAGCTATATCCCTTAATACAAATATTAATTATCCTAAAAAAATTAACCAACCTTCCGTTGAAAAAAAAATCATGCAAAACTTTCAGTATCTTACAAACATTGAATAAGCAAAAAATACATACAACTCAAAACAAAATTTTACTCTGCAGAACACTTTATCAAAAAAAAACAATAAAAATGTATTATATATATATATATATAAATGACAATGAAATATGCCATCTCTTAAAACAGGACATAAGAAATACGACGAAAAATTGTTACCAAACCCTTTCTAAAAGAATGAAACTATTCAAATGATGCGATTTCATCAAAATCTATCAACAACATAAGACAGGAAAATTTTTGCCAAAATTATATTTTTAAGGATGTGAGATGTGAGAAGTGTACTCGGAGCTTCATTTAAAAAAAAAATTAAAAACAAAATATCATTTTTCCAAATTCTTTGTAAAGCAGTCGCAAGCTGAAGGTTTTAACGTGTCCCAAATCAAAGAAAATAAACTGTACTTTTTAAAATAAACTTTTTTATAAAAAATCCCGTTGAAAAGGTGTTAAGCCCCTTTGTTAATAAATTCGTATTTACTCGATTTATTGAAACACGAACTTTATTTTAAGTTCGTAAATAGCTAAGTCCTCGTTTCATGACGATTGTAATGGAAGGTAGAGTAAATCTCGCTTTTCTATAGCCCATTAGTCTCAAATATGCGATTTCGTCACAAAACATAAATAAAAAAATTCGAATTCAATTCGAAAAACTCGCTTCGAGGTGCACTTGCTCTTGTCGAATGACCTGCACCTTGTAGCCGTGGGTCTATTAGCTTACGCGCAAGCGCGAACGAAAGACGTACACACACACACACACACACACATACGCACACACAAACTCTTTTTTTTATTATATGTAGAGATACATCGTATTTCATACACATTGTATATCTGTTTCTCTATTTAGAAGAAACAAATTTAAGGGGCTATAGGATTCCCAAAGGATCCATAACTTTGACCAATTTATGGTCAGCTCATCATGATCCAGAAACCTTCGAAGATCCATTTACGTTCGATCCGTCAAGATACTTAACCTCTTCGGGTAAGCCTAGAGCAGAACTTCCAGTAACCTTTGGAATAGGTAAGGTGACTTTTTTTTCCCTTCTGTGCGATTATATTTGTAACAAAAGCTTTTGTCCTGTTATAAATTTAAATGTTATTACCTTTTAATTACAGACGTGTATGAAGAATAAAAGTTTCAATATAGGTAATTAACACAAATTAGTATTAAACTGGCCACCCAGTCAGCATAGTGGTCAGACAAGCCGACTGCAGTACCGAAAAGCCCAAGCTCGAATCTCTGAAAAGGCATGGCTGTAATTGTCCATCCCTTCATAGAAGATAAATATGGCCTACCTGTTAGCTGTTTCGACAATAAGGTGGCCACCACTTCAGGCATTAGTAGTAAACAAGCCTATGTTGCCTAAGTTGGCTAACTGCTCGCCAATGAGGGGAAAAACTATTAAACTGCACTAATTTATTTTTCTGAGAAACTACAACCCGCTTAACCTTTCTGTTTTTTCGGAGAATTCAAGTCTTCCAGTTTACCTATAGATTTCTAAATTCCAAGCATACACGCAAAAAAAACAAGTCTTAACTAAACGTTTATTTATACTGCATCTTGTAGGTACAGCTAACTAACTACAAGACGTAGCATAATAAATAGAAGTCTTAAACGTACAGTTAAACGATAGTTTCCTCAATGTTCTTTGCGAGGTCTCGAACACACAAATTCTTAAACATATACCACAGAACTGTGCAGTGCTTTTTATGTTGCTCAAAAAGGAGTGATAATGGAAAGCATGCCATATTGCATTGCCCCGATTATGATATTGGACTCTGCCTACCTCCATTTTTAAAATATATCATACAAAAGCTGAAGTTTGAAAAGAAATAAAAATTTAAGTATTTAAAAAATACGTGTTTTGTTCTAATATTTATCTTTTGTAAATTGTTCATTCTAGTTCTACACCTTCGTCATAAAAAAAACCTACGCTAAGTAAAAATGCCTTACTTTCGCTGTAATTAAAAATTATCTTAAATCTATAAATGCAATACTTGTTTCGACCGCTGATTTGAATCCAAGTAATCGATTCAAATAAAAAAACTGTTTATAAAAAATATGCTTGTTTTTGTTCACAATATGGAAGAAAAATTCAACTGGCAAAGGGTTAAAATAAGATCTGGAATTGACTAGAAAATTGGGTAAGCCTTTTGTCAAACATGATCATAATGAGGACCACGCTGAGATGTTTCACCGTGAACTGAATATGTTGACAACCTGTTATAGAGGATTATATAACTACCTAATCAAAACTCGAGCACGACGATTAAAAACTGTTTTCGTTCGTAAAACAGATGAAAACTCAGCCACAGAGAAGACTCATGTTGAATTTTACTCGAAGATCGTAGAAAGCATTTCATTATTAGAGGAAGAAGACGATGTATGCAACATTTCTATTCACAATAACTGATAGTCCAATCGTACGCAATGAAATGTATGTATCGTTTATTATCAGAAAGTGAAAAAGAATAAAACTTTCTTACCAGTAAAAGAAATTTTTTTTTAACTCAAAAGGGCTGGGGTCTCGAAATGGGATTTTGGATAGTTCATTGTGAATGCAATGTATCACTTTTGTATTCGCATCTATTGCTGTAAAGATCGTGACTTGTAAAGATCATGACTTGTGAAGATCGTGATTTAAAGAGAACGTGAAATATAAATAATAGGACAAGAACTTGCATTTTACTGTGTGGCAACAAGAAGAGGATTCGGAAGATTTGGATATTTTTGTTAGAGAGTTTAAGATTTTAGTATTTTATAGTTGTAAGAGTTTTACTGTGTAGTTAAAAGTTAAATTTTGATAGTTAAGAGCTGCAGTATTTTTTTTTTTTTTTTTTTGTGGTTGTTTTTAAAATTCAATAAAAGTATTTTGTTCATTCAAAATTTAGCTTGTTCTTCCTACAAGGTTCAATATCATTATATGAAATAAGGAAAGGATTTTTACTATTGCTTAGAAAACGTTAGACATTCTTCTCATATAATCTGTCTGTTATTAATTCAACTGTTTAAAGCAAAGGATGCAGTTCTTAAGATATTATTTTTTTTACTTTTTTAATCTGATCGATTTTAAAAAAAGCATTTGATTCATATATCTGATTAAACTTAATATTTTTATAGAATTATATTATATATTCTTTCACTTTTTTAAATATGGAAAGGATATATAACATTTCGATGTTAGTCTAAATGCATATTCATCTAATCTCTACATATAATAAAAGAAAGAGTCTATCTGTGTGTGTGTGTCTTTCGTTTGCGTTGCGCGTAAGCTAATAGACCCACGGCTACGAAATTTGGTACGTAGGTGCATCTAGACAAGACCCAGTAAGTCTGTTGATATTGAAAATAAATCCAAAGGGACATCTTCTTTTACATTCGAGGGTCTAGACAGCATGTCCGCAAATACAGTAACTTTATACTCAGTTTTGGAATTATAGGATTGAATCTGAAGAGCTTATCTTTCCAAACGACCTGATGGTGACTTAATGCTCATTATCCATTACAACGGCTGGTCGTCAGATACTGCTGGAAATAGCAAACGACTGGCATACTCAATAGCGCGTTCCATTAGGGACCCCAAATCCATTGTCCCTTGTACATTTTTTTAAGGTTATTAAGTGACCTATTAAAATTCACAAAGTTTAGAGCATACCTCCTAAACCATGAGCAAGTTTGCAAGAAGGACAGAACTTTCTTCACATTGGCTTGTACAGAGATTCTTTGAATACAGGACGCTTTTCCAGGTCCATTTCAGTTCCATTTGTGGATATCCAGTGACCTAAATGTTTAACTCGATCACATGCAGAATGTCATGGAGTTTAAACAAAAAAAAGTCTCTCGAAAATAGTTTTTAAATCACTTACATGTTGATCAACAATCTTTGATAATATAATGACGTCATCTAAATACGACAGAGAAAGAAATACTCTAAATTTGAGAATTAGGCGTTGGAATGTTACGCCCGCATGTCGTAGTCCGAAAGGTATGCGCAGATATTTATATGTTCCAAAACGGGCAAATGAATGCTGCTTTATCTTGGTCAGCTTATGTACTTTTGTAGAGTCATTAGGTTTTTTTGAAGCAGGAGACGTGAAATATGTGCAATGCGCTTGCCGAAACTCGAACCCTAGACCTTCCGAATACGCGGCGAGTATACTTCGAGTTACACCACAAAGGCATGCGGCTAGGGGGAGAGAAAATACCTTATACTTTGACTTGATAGTACCCTAATTTAAGATTGAGGGTCGACATAAAGGTTGTAGACGAAACGTAGAACGTAACGCTTCTGTGAGCAGATAGTCAGTGCGTGGTAAAAGGTAGGTTTCGAATGCTCGTGCGGGATTTTTAATGTTGATGTTTGAGTGACATGATGACGTTTTTAAAGATTAGATCACTGATGTTAAAAAAGAAAGGAAAGCAATGCCAAACATAAAAAACTTCCAATAGACTAATTTATGAAAGTTTGAACTCAATGATATTATTTACGCTCCCTTGTAAATATTATTTTAATACCATTTACAACTTAGATACTTCATAACTAATGATGTTTATTTTCCTGTTATCTATTCTGTGTTTCTTTCGTTTAGAATACTGATTTGATTTGTGTAGCTAAGTGAATTGATTCTTGGGGTTAAACTGTTTGCAAATGCAGGTAAATCCTGAAATGTATTGTATTGGCTAGAAAGTAATTTCGGTTTGCACAATTAGATAGTACTATGTTCATTGGGTTATTCTTCTTTCAATCTTATATTTTTGTTTTCTTTTGAGAATGGGCAGCCGAAACCTTTAAATTGCTATAAAAATATATTCCATGTATTTTGCTTTATAATTGTTAGTCTACTGTCAATTTTAGCATGGGGTGCAAAAACAAACATTTTCGACATGTTTTACATTTCTATTTTCATAAAGTGCACAAAAAGGGTGAGGCTGACAAAGCGACATACGAAGCTTATGGTGTTGGTTGCTTAATAGAACGCATGTGTCATTGGTTTAAAATTTCATTCTGGAGACTTTTCACTTGAAGATGACTAACGTTCTAGGAATTTCAGAAGTTGGTGATAACAAAATTAAAGCCATAATTGAATCGTGGTGATTCAATTCTGTGCGACAGATTGCAAAAAGGATAATTGTATCGCACACAATTGAAAATCACATGAGATGTCTTGGACTTGTTAAGAAGCTCGATATTTGAGTCCCGCAAGAATTACATGAAATTCGCGTAATACAACGAATGAATATTTGAGATACACATTTCAAACTTAATACAATCGAACCTTTTTTAAAACAAATTATTAATGGTGATGAAAAAGGGATCGTCAACAATAACATTAATCGAAAGAGATGATGTTCCAAACAGGAGAAATAGCAGAAATCATATCGAAATCAAAATTGCATCAGAAAAAGATAATACTATCAAACTGGCGGGAATACAAAGGTGTTTTTTATTTTGAACTGCTTGCAAGCAAGCAAACGATCAACTCAGGTATTTACCGCTAACATCTTCCTGGAGGATGCAATTAAAGAGAAAAGATTATTAGAGCTTGTTGGGAAGTGATGCCGTAACCCGCATACAGCCCCGACCTTACCTCATCGGTTTATCATTCATTTCAAAGTTTACAAACAACTTAAACGGTAAAATTTTAAGTAATAACGATGACCTCAAATCTTAACTGGTTGAGGTTTTTGTTGATAAAAGACCAAAAGTTCCTTGAGCGCGGAAATATGAAGTCACCAGAAAGATGGCAAAAGGTCATCGAACAGAACAGAAGATATTTGACTGATTAAAGTTCAGATTTCGTATAGAATATATTGAGTTTTATTTCACATTAAAAAACAAAAATACTTATTTGCCAATCAGATATGTTGCTATGAATTATAATATTAGTGATTCCTATTTCCTGTGCTATTTATTGCCTTTGGATTAACTGTGGAAGACATATCCAATATTGAACTAGTAAATTTGTGTAGTTCATCCTGTTTGATCAGTGAAACTGTTTATTTGATCAAGGAAAATCAGGAAAATTAAATTTTGCGTTTCAGTGAAAACTCTGTAATATCTCAAACTAATTAAATGTTTAATTTATACCGTAAAATCTTTATTATAATATAGTGTGGCATGGGTTGTAGCAAATTATGGATTCAGCATAACGCAAAATGTTTGAGTTTGGTATATTGAAACATGCAATTTATTATAATCAATATTTAATCTCTCGACTATCAATTACTACAAATCTGATTGTTTTAATTATCTTTTAATCTGATTGTTTTAATTATTGTTTTAATTATTTATTAAACAATCTTGATTGTTTTAATTTTTTTTAGGTAAACGTTCGTGTATAGGAGAATCATACACTATGACTCTGGTTTTCCTTTATATGATAACTATAGTCAAAAACTTTCACTTGTCGTTTCCTGGAGAAGAAGACTACTCAACTTCTGGATATACGATGAAGTTAAAAATAATCGCAACTCCAAGATAATAAAAGAACTCCCACTTCTATCGAAACATCAGTTTTACTTTATTGCAGACATGCCTGCGCGTTGTATGCACTAATAAAGTTCTGCTTTTCATGATTCGTTTACTTAAAGATTGCATTTGTTTGAATTTGATTTCTATCCTTCATTATTGTATTCTTACTAGCATGGCCTTATATACAGGGTGATCCTTTTTAAAGTGACAGTGTTTGGAGCGCCCTGTAGCGCGATCTAATAGCCGAAATGGCACCAAACTCGGTATTTAGAATTTAGACTAATCAACACATGGGAAAAAGGATTCCGTGAAAAAAGTTTAGTTCCAAAAATCGCCGCTAGCTCATTTTGTGGAGCTGCTGTAGATTACAATAACGAGAATTATCATAAAACACGGGCATGAAAGAAAAATGCAAATGTTGTGCTATAACAGCGCCAGTAATAGGGGCTATAAAAGCAATAGAGACTTCCGACAATAATCTCAGCTGAAGTAAACGAGCTCCAGTGGACTTTTGTTCTATAATTTCTATGTATTTAGTATTTATTCAAAACTGGCACTTGCACCTTTGAATCTTATGCTTTGTCAAAACTACAAATGTGCCCTTTATTTATCTATTTATTTTTTTTTTTGAGCCCTTGTCTGGCCATGTTTTGTTGAACTTTGACTCATAAATACTAGGCCCGGCGGTTGGTTTGAACATGCTCTGGGGCTCTTTGGTCTTTTGGACTGCCACCTGGATGCCTGGTCCTGGTTTTCGGGTATGGTGCGAGCTCCTGTGTGGTCCATCTGGCTCAGAAGGTGGGCGTGTTGCATATGCCATTAATCATTACGCTAAGGGATGGCGCACACGTCCCTCGTCAACTATCAACTATCATTACCGGAACGTGCGTTACTGGTGAAGCTGTATACATGAATATTTAATGCATCCACGATCTTCGGGAATTTCGAACAGAAAAAAATTACAAAGGGGCCTTTATCGCTGATGGTTAAAAAATGATTAAGAATTTCGAGGAAACGGGTCACTGACCTTCGCACTGTGAGAGGACGTAACCAGTATCAGAAGATGTTAACTGATGGGCAACTGCAATTATCGAAGGATCGCGAGAACATTGCTGGTACTAGCAGCGCCGGGGTTTAGCTCGATAATTGGACAGAATATTCCACGGTATGGGAGTTTTAGGCGCTTTATTGGATTTTACACCTCAAAATCTCAGCTTGCACGAACTGAAACCAAGTGATTTGATAGCGAGTGCATTCGCTCTATCGTTTCTGCCAGCGTAAAATTGATGACGCTTTCCCATGGCACATTCTGTGGGGAGATGATCTATTTTTATGTCAAATGGGTCAAACACACAAATAGCAGAAGTTTGCGCTTTTGAGCAGCCCCACACCGTGCACAATCCCATTAAATTCCCAAAGTCCGTTTGGTGTGGTTTCACAGCCGAATTCGTAATTGGGTCATTCTTTTTTGACCATCACTCCGACAGACCCCAACGTGCACCATAAATGCAGAAAGATACCTCGAAATGCTGCAAACGTTTATTATTCCACAACTTCAGCAAGGAACCTCTCCAACAGACAATCTTTATAGCAGGATGGTACTCCGCCGCACATTAGTAATAAGGTAAAGCAGTGTTGCGCCAAACTTCCTGATATAGTCATAGTCGCAGTTTTCGTTGCATGGCCACCCTGCCTCACGTCACGCAATTTTGGGCTGTGGGGTTGTTTTTAAACCTCAAGTTTATGTTGGTGAGTATCCAATTGTCTATTCTAAAGGACAACATAAAAGACTTGGGGAATATTCCTCGTGATATTTACTCGGTATGAAAACGTTTCACGAAGCACAGCGCTCACTTGATGTGGCTAATGCCTCACGGGGGAGTTAATGTGTAAAACTTAATATTAACTGTACATTGATGTCTTGATGTCCCATTTTTTGATTAGTCGAATACCAGTTTGGTGGCCATTTCGGCTATTTGATACAGGGCCTCCAAAACTGTCACTTTAAAAGATCACCCTGTACTTATTAGTATATAATTCAAACGATTATAATAAGTATATCAGATTCCTTCTCCAAGTCCCCGGGGTCGACGTAGAGATTCGCGAAGCTACTGGCTAGGATCTGTACCTAGGCAGCTCGGCACGGGTATAAAATTTATGAACTTGGTGGTTCTGAAGGCTGAAAGTCACTTTTGGCCGGCCCCGAGTCTGCACGTCCTAGCGCGGCGTGTACTATACCCGGGGTCTCCCCGGGTCGCTGGTATTGTCCCGCGCGGCTGGCTCCCAACGACTGGTAGGAGCATAGACGCTGTCTGCCTGGGTACTCCCCGGTGTGCGCTGCTCTCCTGGCGGATAGTGAGGTTGAACCACCACGATGTGCCCAAAGGGGGGAGTGGACCCGGAATGAGATTGAGTTCTCGATACGGGGAATGCCCAAATCTTCTTCTTCTTCTTCTTCTATCCATGTGACGTATAACTTCTGTTCCGTTTATCGACGTTTCCTTTCATAGCTCAGATTAGTTGGTTGTCAGATGAACAAGAATTGAAGAAAGAAATGAAGAATTAACTCTACCTTCTTTCACAGATTCAATACGCTGCGCTGACACATTGAAGTATTTTCTTTGATTTCCACAGTCTAATAATTCGATTGAGTAAGAACGTAATTCACACCCTTAACCCGCGAGAAAGCGCGTGGGGTGTATCATACCCCATCCCTACATAAAAGTGGAATATTCCTAACTTGTGAAACTGAAATTCTGTGCTGCATTCAGTAGCTGAGTTTCTAGTTGTGGTTGACTCAGAACCGCTTTTCCTCGCCTGTTGTGTTTCCAAAAGATTTATCGGTGTTTTGTTTGGAACTTCGTTGACCACCTCCCGCCCTTCCCTAATTGCTTTTCTCTGTAGATTCAAAATTTATTTCTGAGTTTAACAGTTATATTTTTTCTCCCTTGATTTTAAGTACGTCCATTAATTCTTGAAAATTTCTCCGCATTATGGTAAAACTAAGACCCCTATGAACTGAGATGCAACCCTGTGAGATTTATTAGAATATTGAAAGCCGTGAAGATTAGATGAAACTGAAATCTAGGAATTTTTCTACAATTTTTAGTTCGAAAAAGATAAAACTTAATACCTGATGTTCAAAAAAGGAAAACTGTTCTTATGCTTTCACATTATATAACGATCATAACTATAGACGACTATTGGAGAAAATACAACATTATTTTTTTATAATATGACTAAAGGCATTATATGTGGGACGAAATGTCAGTCAATTATTCATTTTCCAGAAACAAGGTGGTTCCAATGGAATTTTTTCCCTGCGCTGAATGTTTGTAATGAATGCTTGAATTATATTACATTCAACTGCTAACGCCACCAGAAACAAGCTGTGTTTGAAGGACTTAGCATACAGTTAATGAAAAAAAGTATTGAACAAAGATCAGAGATTAATATTTTACCAAGAACTGACGTATACATGCAAAACAAAAGCAAGTTTCGACGAAGAATTAAAACGAATACATGAAGTTAAACAACTAAGTATGAAAGATGTGATAAATTTGCAAGGCATTCACTTTTTTGCAATCGCGCCAAGGCAGAAGAACGTGAATTTTAAAATGTGAAAACATTCTGTCCAAGAACACAATTATTTTGTTCAGTTAAAAGAAATAAAATAAGCATTGTATTAAAGATGCAATGAAACATAGAGTGATGATTTTTTTATCATTTTCATTATCTTATTTAACTGTAATTATTTTGGAAATTAATTTTGAACCCAATTATATTCCCCATTTAATACACGAGAACAAGAAAAACAGCTTCAAAACTAAATAAAACTATTTTTAGCGTATTTTAAATATTGGGATATGTGATACCCCACGCGCCCACTCTAGTAACCTTTCTTGGTGCGACTTCCGCCGGGTTAAATACCTTGAGGCTAAAATGATATATCAGATGACTTTTTTATATTTCTTTCTTTAAAAAAGTTTTAATCAGCACCTCGTATAGAACTTTAGACAATGCGGATCAGAAAGTATGAAAAATCATTTGTAGCCTCACCAGGATTCGAACCATCAGGAATCTTTCGATGCTAGCTGGTCCTGTTAACCAGTCACACCACGAGAATCCTAACGGAAAAAATGCTATAATTCCTTTTATTAACGAAATCAATGCTAGCT